CATGTTTGTCTTTTTGTGATTGGGTTACCTCACTCAGGATGGTTTCTTCTAGTTCCATCCATTTGCCTGCGAATTTCAAGATTCCATTGCTTTTTTCTGCTGAGTAGTACTCCATTGTATAAATGTACCACATTTTCTCTTTCCATTCTTCAGTTGAGGGGCATCTAGGTTGTTTCCAGGTTCTGGCTATTACAAACAATGCTGCTATGAACATGGTTGAACATATGTCCTTGTTGTAAGGACAAGCAGTATTTGGGTATATACCCAAGAGAGGAATGGCTGGATCTTGAGGTAGATTGATTCCCATTTTTCTGAGCAACCTGTTCGCCACTTTTAACCCGAATTCCAGCCAATGACACTGACAACTCAAGACTTAAGATCCAGTTCTGCTTATCTCTCCTTCCACCTCCAGGGCTACTAAGAGGCCTTGTGTAGGGGTGATTTATACACTACTAACATCTCTTACCTCAATAGGAAAGGGCCCATCTGGCCCTGACACTCAAAAGACGGGGGTGACAGGAAAGGAATCAATCTAGACATCATTGAAGGTTTCATTTGGGCAGCATTCACACCTTAGTGGGCTCCTGTGAGGAGGAGAAGGGCAATAGGGTTATTTAAAGAAGTGTCTCACAGATGTGTGATGCATTTAAACATAAAGGCATTCTGTCCTCAAAAAGTTGAGGCTTTGGCATAGCACCAAGGCCAGCCTAACATAGGGCTGGAGAGGCCCAGGGTGTAGTGTGACTTATCACACTAAGTACACTTGTCTCCCACGGCAACGAGTTACTGGGCAGCAGGAGACAACAGGGCTGGGAAAGCATTCAGGGGAAGGGTCAATAGGGTACTGCTCTTTGCATATTTATCCAGGCCCAGATTTGGTGGATGGCTTCGGAATACATTAAGCCATCATCAGCATTCTCAGCTGTTCTTGAGGGCACAGTTGCTCCAAAGGTAAGAGGATTCAGATTAGCTTCCTGGTACTTATTTCAGGAAAGCCAGACATCCAGGGAACCAGGCCATGAAGGCCAAGTCCAAAGTATGCAGCTGGGCGGGCAGATACACCACATTGGCCCCGTAAGGATCCAGCCAACTTGAATTGTCAAATTCAATAAATATTTATTCCTTATCTCCCCAAATGACTCTTAGGGATCTAAATGCATTGCTAGCATGCGTTTGCATGTGTTTCTGCCCACCCATTTGCAGATTAAAGTGGGACAGGGACCACATGTTAGTCTCCTGATAGTTCTAAAGTCTGGCACAGTATCCGGACTATAATACATGCTGAAAGAAAAAAATAAGTGACTAAGTAGAATTTTATGAGTATGCATAACCTTTTAACCTGGGCTTCTACCTAATTGAATTATTGCATTAAGCCCTTTATTAACCTGCTTTAACAGGTGAGGAGACTGGGGTGCAGAGAGGAAATGCAACTTGGCCAAGGTCATTTGGTTGGGGAAGCCCAAATTGAATTTCAGGTTGAACGTCTGATGGGTGATTAAGACTCACATAAAAATCAATCAACCTATTATCACATTAAGACACTAACTAGGATGGATGAAAGAAAGGGCTTGGGAACTTCAGTGTCATCAGAGAGTTTTCACTAATTGCCTTCAGGTCCAAGGCACCTTGCTAAGCACTAAGAGATAATCCACACAGATGGTAGAGCTCTCGGGTGGATTTTTAAAAAATAAAAAGCTACATGTAAAGTATAATTATATATAAAAGGAAGACTATTACCACAGTGAACTTGAGCTTATTTAAACATGGATCAGATGGATGAGAGTACTCTGGAACAAGGACAGGGTTGCTGGAATCACTGCTATCCCAGGGACTTGCACTAAGCTGCCACCCAGGAGTAGCTGGTGAGATGGAGTCCACCATACACTAGTAAGGTTATGTAATCCCTGTGTCTAATTGCAATGTAGTAATCAGAATGAATATGTCCTCCCAGGGGAATGTCATTGCAATAGAGGCAAGAGAGATGTGAAAGGTATCTTAACTAT